GCGGCCTGGAAAAACGTCCTACAGGGACGAGATAAATGTTTTCACAGGAGCTGAGTTGGAGCGGAGAAATCTGTTATACAAATATCGTGGTTTCTGGACTTATTTTGAAGATGAGAAGTGAAGGTACGCTTCAAGAAGATATGACGTATTTCATTGCGTTTTCATTCAGTTATACGGCAACATTTTTTCAAACTTGAATACGCGCAACTTGTCTCACTAAGCTGTCAAAGCAGACCACGAGGCAGCCTAGCATTTCCGTTACCATCGAGGACTATCGACAAATCATAATCATAGTCGCGACGAAATATTCCGAAAAATGGTTATATTTGTATGCTTATTGGCTGCGAAGTATATTCTATTGTTGCTCTTTAATTACTCACTTTCGGAAAACTAACTCGATGGCAAACGTGACTACTCGTGCTAGCGCAATAGTTACGAAAATAATAACATCTCTTGTCGTTAAAGGAACTTTAGCTACACCACAACTTCTTTAACTAATAAAGCAGTTATATATTTGGTAATTTCAGGTAGCGTCTGTTTAGTGTTTAGTGTGATACTTAGTGTATAACGTAGTAGGTGTGTTGTTGTTTTTTTCAGTAAGTGTGTTGTTAATTCTAAGTAGAGTTTGTCAAGTGTTTAGTCATGTTTTGCGTTGATGAAATGATATTTCGCGTTGTGTAACGACTGTCGTAGAATTAAGGATTTGTTTCTTTATGTTATTATATGTCATGGTTCTTTTTTTTTTCTCAACTCATCTTTTTTAAATGTTCCGCAAAAAAAAGCGTCAATAGTAAGAAAACCTAACAACATGTTAAAAACAAAAAAATGCCAGATTTTGTTAGCAGTGCTAAGTTTAGACAAAAGGTAAAAAATATGCTATGCTTGCTAAATTATAACAAAAATTTTGTCAGTACAATAGACAAAGCGTGAATTATGAAAGCAATAATAATAGTTATTGTTTTGATGATAGGAATTTGGGCCCATTGACTCTTTTATTATCATAGCAACTCAATACAGCGACGTGCGTTGAGGGTCTGAGCAGAAAGGGAGCATAGTCTATTAACGAATGTGTCAATCACTCACGGCCAGCAACGAGAGGCGAAGCTCCATTCTTACACATTGAGGGGAAAGTGGCTGTAAACCAGAGGGTTCACTTGCAGAAACTTGCTGTGGGACGTCTGTAAAGATTTACCTAAACTATACGTGGGAAGAGGTAGGTGTGATTCAGTGAAGTTCTTGAAGACCGCCGCTACTCACTGAGGGGGGTAAAACTGCTCACTGCAAGAAAGAAATTCAACCTAACCTTATTATACGAACATTTTCTGAAAAGAATAATAATAATTAGTAAAATCCAACTATTGGTCTATTCTGATTAGAGGAGCTACTACTAGGCTATATGTTATAGCCCACTAGCAGCGAAAAGCGCGGGCTTTTAGGCGGCAAAAAAGGATTAAATTCTAGCTTTAACTAACTAAAAGTCTTTTATTCTCGATATTTCTGACCAACTAGTTGGATTTTACTAAAACAATTATTCCTCTCGCCCTCATGGCCATAAGTCAATAGCCCATTCGGCCTTCGACCTCATGGGCTATTGACTCAGAGCCCATTCGGGGCTCGAGGAATAATTGTTAAACATGAAATTTTACATTGACGGTCCTCCTAGTTTGCAAATAAATGAGAAGTAAAAAAACTAACAAAATTTATCTTAAAGAAAAGTTTTCTAAAAAATGTTTTATTAACCGAACAAAAACACCGTTGACCTGTCAAAACCTATTCTTAAACGAAAAAAAAACAGTTCTCTTACCAAAAAAGCACCAAACCGCGTTCCATGTTACCATTTCAAGAAGCAATGGGCGAAACGAGTCACAAGCAACAAAATTTAATTTTTACCAGTTTCAATTTCGAAAAAATTATCAATATCCATTACGTCGCGTTGAAGTGAGATCTAAAGTTCGATTACCAGCGAGAGACTTTCCCATTTTTTATTGCCAATTGGCGGTTGCTACTTTTTTGGCTATAAAACGTTCGGTTTGGTTTTGTTGCTACGAAAGATTGCGGAATTTTCTTATTTTTTAATTTGTGTTTTGCGTTCTCGTTCTTGTTTTGTGAGCTTGCGAAGCACCAAAACAATTGGTGCTCCAACTGGGCCACATTGCAAGAGTTGGTGGAAGAAATCTTTGGACGTGGGCCTGTCATTCATGCAAGAGTACCGACGGAAAGGGCTTTGGAGTGGGAAAAATGGCCGTATGGACGTCCTATTGTGGATGGTTGGCAATTGTGGCGATGTTTTTCTTTTAAGGCACCCAACGACGGTTTCCTCCTAAATACACTTTTTAGGCTACCCAGAGTACTTTTATAACTCTAGAAAAGCATTCTAAGCGGCGCTGTAAAATTTGCCTTTGTTCGTTCATCCTAGGGGAACTTGAGTCTTTTCGGGCTTGAGTAATATTTTCCCAAAAATTTTAGATGAAATTGAACGTATTACGAGAGTGAGACATTTTCTAATTCCTCTGCTCTCCATCACATTTTTGAATCCGAAAAATTTAGGTTTCCTTTTATCTATGAAAAATAGCCTAACCTGGGAAGTAAAATGCAAAAATCAAACTTCAGAAAATCGTAGGAAATTCTATTTGTAAGATAAGCTTCGAAAATTGTGCATGATGGAATGGTAATCTACAAATATTTAGCCGTCCTCAAGTAATAGAAAATTCTGGGCAGTATTTGCTTCTCCGAATCGATATTTTAAAGAAAACATTTGAAAAAATCTTTGAAAAGCTTTTCGTAAAACTCTTCGAAACCTTTTCCAAAACCTTTTACAAACCGGCCAATTTTGCTTTGTTAACTGAAAATTTTATTGAATGCAAACACGGCAAACATAAAACAGCTTTTCGGGACCGAAAAGTTATCGAGACTTTCGAGTAACGGGCCCCTGGATTGTCGTCATAAAGCAAAGTGGGCGCTGCGTCGACCACACCAGGGGCAGCTTTTCCTTCAGATCGCGTTACTTTCACCAGTTTTCTTTCCTATTTAGCAGCCTCGAGGAACTACTTTTAATCGTTTTTTTTTTTTCAGCCAAGTTAGCTTAATGTACTCCACATGTATAAATTATTGCAAAAAAAAGATGTTGCTAGGTTATAGAAAATCATTTATGCTTTGTTCATGACATTTATTACTTTTTTACAGCAGAGAACCAAAACAAATTAATATACTTGCAACTCTGACAAGTCGATCAAAACGCATAATTTGACGAGAAGAAGCACCGCTGTTTTTTAAAGGTATGTTGATTTGCAATTCATAAGATATTTCCAGTATTTTTAGTTTAACATTTAATTTATATCTTAAGGTATAAAAATAACTAACAACCGCTGGCGAGTATAATGGCTACCTTAATGGAACCCTGGCCTAATGGTAAACTCCGACTTCCATTTCCTCTAGGCCGCTCGCGGAATCGCGCGCGCACTATGAAGTTTTTTTTGAGCGTTTATTTTTTTCTTTCATGGTGTATGGAAACTGCTAGTCTGCTTGTGGTTAGGAGACTAATGGAAACCTTGCAACGTTTCTAACGTACTTGTAACTTCACTGATGAAGGGCCAGGCCTGAAACGTTTGAAGAGGAACTTAAACCACAAGAAGGCACTTTTGTTCATTAAATGGCGCGAAGAAAAGTAAAGATCTTCCCCTGGGTCTCCGAGGATGAATTGTGCGCCACTGTCTTGTTTTTCTGTCTTTATCAACTGGTCCAGTTCGATTAGCTGTACCCGTAAACTCTGAAAAATTCGACTCCAGAAGACCAAGTGGAAAGGAAAAACTGAAAAATCCTCCGAGGCCCTTTGGCCGAAAAAAAAATCAAAACTCCGAGACCCAAAAGTCACCCGAAAAAGAGTTCAAGACCCATCACAAACACTTCAAATCCGAGATTTCGAGATTCGGTAAAATTTTCCGAGACCCGCGTTTCTCGAGGTACCATTCTATATCGTCTATACCCCTTTGCTGAAATTGTCGCTTTCCCTTGCAGACTCCTTGCACTCAACTTGCCGGTTTCTTACTTTTCCTCTCAGTGCCTGGCCTGTGACAAACATGGCCCTGCAATTCTCTCTTGACTTTTCTCAGTTAATTTATATCATCTCTGTTATTTAGACGACTGCCCGGTCTTTGAAAGCCCAACTGTCCAAACTTTAGATAAATAACTCAGTTACGTTGTCTACCTTTCCCTATCTTTTAAATGAAGATATAGTAGATATGACCGTCGCAGTCGTAATTGCAATTTAAGCAGTTGCAAATTGTAGCCGTGAGACGAGAGATTACGAATTTTTTTCTTACTATTTCTTTCGTGTTTTGAGTTGCGTGAAGTTAATTTGTTATTGCGTTTGGTGTAGTTTTTTGTTAGCCTTTTTGTTTTCATATGCGTATTCATTCTGTAATTCTATGAAGACCCATACATTGGGAGCCAATTTGTTGAGTTCATCTTAACCCGTGAATGGGATGAAGCAATGAAGATTATGTTAACTGCAGAAATACAGATCTTAAATGAAGATATGATCGTCGCAGTGGTAATTGCAATTTAAGCAACGTCATGTTAGATGCCAAAATACCCATCAACTCATAGTACCTTCAACCTTATTGGCCCTTGCAACAGATATCCGAACATACAAAGCCACAAAGCCACAAAGATACATACGCTCAGACCACTGACATACATGGAGAATTAAGCAGTAATGGAGAATTAAACAATTCAGAGAGAACCAGCCTTACTTTCAGGAAGCCTCCCTTTTCTAGGAAAGTAGATAGTCTGTTTTTGACCAAATTTTCGAAAACATCTTGAAAAACTCCTAAAGATGGTGAAAAAAAGGATCGTCGGCGGGTTGCCTCTTCCCTTTCCACTACCAAAGAGAGGCCGCGGAGGAAATTCTTCTGAACAGAACTGCAGCTTTTAACACGAAACATTACTATTAGACAATAATCGTTCAAATTTCTCAACCATTTTATGTTGCAGTCAACCCAATGAGGCTTCGTCATTATTGGTTCATTGTTTGTCTTAGTAATGCTTGGATCGTTTTTGAGGCGGGCCATTCAGAAAAGGACACTAACGATTCAAGTCCAGTGGAGTGCGAGGAAGGAAGTTTCATGTTGAACACGTGTGAAGAGCGTTGTGAATGCAAGAAAGGTAAACTAACCAGCTGTTACCGCGTGAGAAAGGATTTTACCAAAATGACCATCGAGGACAGAAAACGTTATATTAACACTTATAAGCTGGCATCGGTCCATCCTGTGGTTAAGAAAGATTATGAGAAATTGATAGCTCTCCACAACACCGGCGGAAATCAAGCAAAAGTTCCTGAAGCCTTTTTGCCATTTCACCGGTGGTTTTTGGTTGAGATGGAAAACGTACTGCGCAGAATCGACTGTCGTGTGACTTTACCCTACTGGGATTGGAGCAAAAACACTCATCATTGGTGGAGAGGAACTGGTGACGAAGACCTTTGGAACCCTGCTGATCATGGTTTAGGAGGAGATGGAAATTATACCGATGACAACTGTGTGGAGGACGGAGCTTTCAGCAAAGATAAATGGCTTCTCTTAGACGTGTCTGGAGGAGGGTGTTTAAGAAGGAATTTTACGAAAGACAACCTTCTCTACGATATTGATCACGTGAAGAAAACTTTATCGCTGCCCCTGGAAGAGTTCGAACAATTTGAAGAAACTGTCCGTGTAGACTATCACTTGTTGCCTCACAACGCAATCGGTGGTACAATGATGAATCCTCTAATAGCAGCAAATGCCCCAGAACTGCTTCTTCACCATTCATTTATGGACAAACTGTGGTATCAATGGCAAAACAAAGGAGATGAATACAAAAATGTCTACTTCCCAAGCGTGCCTTTCAAACTTTATGGATCAAAGTATTATGGCCGGGAATGGATTGATTCTAGTAACCTTCCGGGTCAGGTGAAAGTTCTTTACGAAGAATGA